AATCTTCAGCAGTACAAAAAATGAATTTGCTATTAAAAATCGCATAAAGAAGTCTCATTAGACTGTTGATTTAACAGAATACTCTTAGCATGGGCAGTCTGTAACATCAGAAAGTTATTTCTCACAACTCTGGATCTGACCATCTGGGATCAGTGTCTGGAGAGGAATGCCTTCCCAGAGGATACTTCTACAGTACTCCCCTGGTGTGAGAGATGAATCTCTCTGCTTAGTGGCAGAAAGCAGGTAGCAAAAGTGCTATTTAATTCCTTTTATTCCCTTTGTAATGGCACTGGTATCCCATTTCTGAGGGAGCAGCCTACCAAAGACTTCCCCTCCTGAGACCATCACTTTGGGTATTGGATTTCAACAGAAAAATTATAGGGATACAAACTTTCAGACCAAAGAAATATGCAAATGGCCTCATGGTGAATTCCTACAAAAGTATAGAAGACATTCTTCTAAAGATCAGAGAAAGAGCAAACCCATCACAAGTGCTGGGATAGTAAGTAGGGGTCCTAACACTATAGGTTAGCTCCATTTCTCTGGAAACTCCTCCAATTCTCATGCTCTTCTGGTAAGAGTATGAACTAATTAGAACCAGTCTGCTGGACATGGAGAGATGGCTTAGTGGTTAAAGCTTGTTCTTGTAGAGGATCAAATTCAGCTCCCAGTACCACTACCTACATGGTGGCGTCTAGCAGTCTGTAACTCCAGTTCCAGAGGGTCTTATGCCTTCTCTTCTGACTTCCTCAGGCAGCAGGCATTTATGTGATGTACATACACACACTCAGGCAGAACACTCATATACATCTAAAAAAAATCTTTAATGAATAAAACAAGTCTGTCAAATATTTTTGTCCATTAAATATGAACATAATCATAATCTGTGGTTTAACATTCCCACCCCTCCTTCTTTGGTCCTTGTACACGTGGGTGAGTTAACCAGCAGATGTGGAAAGAGTGTCTGCAGAAGCACTGTTCATAAAAGCTCTGATCTACTGCCAAACCAAGTCAACCGTGGAAGGAGAGCATGAATTGTGATGTAGTGGCACTTTGCCAGCTTCACAGCATCAACAGAGAACCAGTTACTTCTGCGTGCTGCAGGGGGCATAAAACTCACACAGGTGGTGTTGGGGAGGGCAGCAGTAGAGTGACATATGCTTCTATATGTATGAAACTTAGATGGCGGAGTAATGTGTGCACAGTGATAGGTCCAAGGGTCATGGTGGGTTTCAGGGTATCATAGGGTAGAGGAGTTCCTCGAGATTCTGGTTTTTATTTTGTTTTTTTTTTCCTTTTGGTTTCTTCGCTTCTTTTCTCCTTTGCTCCTTCCCTCCCATCCTGATAAGATAAAAAGTTAGATTATTGAGTCTGCTTTTTAAAAGGAAGCACTAGTTTTAAATGTTTTACATTAGATTAGATTTTTGTATATTATATACAAATTTTGTATATTGGTACAAATTTGAGATTAACTGTACATACATTTCTACTCTTGCTCAAAGAATTGTACCTATTCAACTCATTTATCAAGGTAATGTAAACTTCTAGTTCTTGAAAATTTTTATTACCAATTATTATTAGGATAATAAGGAATGACAGGTTAGAAGCTAATCAACTATTATAATTGAACTTGTAGTCACATTAGGTTTGTTTTCAAGGTCAAACAAAGATACATTTTAGATAGACAGGCCATTTTCAAACATTTCAGAGATCTACAGAGTATGGCATTTAAGATGTTTTAATAACATAGGCTCTTTATCTATCTGTCTCTCTTTCTATTTATTTATTTATTATGATAATGAGATATGTCTACTCCTGGCAGCACTATTCTACTTCAGAGACAGGGGATTTTGGCATAGGAGCCTGCAAGAGGCCTCTTATGGAATTTCCTGATGGCAAAGGATTATCTTGAATATCCTTTGTTGACCTACATTCATTAGTCCAATGCCTGCCTTTACCACACCTTTTGCATACAGAAGGAAGGGATGTTCTGAATGGATTTTTCTTAGGAAAAACATTGTTTCTAGGAATGCCCTGTTTTACAATTTCTTTTAAGGTGACCTTGTTTGTCACAATTTATAACATTTGACATTTCAATATTTTCTCAAACCTCTGGAAATCACCTCTCCTATCCATGCATCATCATGTTCATGAGATTCAATATTAATTGTATCTCGGATCCATTCCTTCAAAGGTGCTGACCTTGCCTTTAATGGCCTACTTATCCTTTTGCATAGAGATTTGGCATTTTTAAAAAGTCAGAGATTTATTTGTTTAGCTTCTAAATTTGGTATCATTCTATTTACTGCTGAAGTCAGTTTTTGTAAGAAATCCATAAAGGCTTTCTTTGGCCCCTACATAACTTTAGTAAATGACTCAATTTTCTTTCCTACTTCTCCAATTTTGTTCCAAGTATTCAAACCTGCTGCGTGGCACAAATCTAGGTTGTGGTCATCATATACTGTTTGCCTTTCCTTAGTAGCATAATCTCCTTCTCCAAGAATTTGATCTTGGGAGATTTCCCTACCTTTTGCTTTACTTTGTTGTTCAATAATCTTAGCCTCTTCTCTGAACCAGGCACTCTATTATAATTGTGGACCAGGTTCTAAAACAGCTTTAACCAATTCTATCCAGACATTAAGGATAATTCTATCACAAACTGACCACGAGTTTAACATTTGCTTCACAAAAGATGAATGCATGCCATATGAGACTTGCTTCCTTGAATCTCCTTAAATCTAATACTGGCACAGGAGTCCATTCAGTGATTACGCTATCATTTGGAAATTCCTGTATGGTTACTGGATGGATTAAGGTTGGTTGTTTGAAAACCTTTGGCTATTCTATCTGTTCTTATATATGCAATGCTGTAATTGGTTCTTCATTAAATTTCTCTGTCTGGATTTGAATATTTCTGTGACCTGTTTTATTAAATTTTTCTAAGGCCTGTATCTTAGCACTCAGATTAACTTTTTTAGTGATACAACAAAAATGATAATGCTGGTAATGTTTACAATTGACATTACATAAATTCTACCTAAATTAGTTATTCTCTCATTTAATCCTTCCATTTTCAAACTGTCCAGAGTATTATCATACAGAAACACAAATACCTCCAATGCAATGGTGTTTCCTATTTATTTAATGTGGAAAAACTCTCTCTCTTTTAACTGATTCCTCCCTTTATGAGTTCCCAGTTGTCTTACCAAATCTACCAATGATGTTAATGAAGATGTGAGGCTGATTGATGCTGTGTAGAACAGTAAAATCCTTTCTGGATTTCAAGACAGCTACTTAGTTAGGCAGCAGCCTGAGAAGGGGGTTCAGGGAGTGCTCACAATGCTTGGTAGAGAGAGAGAGAGAGAGAGAGAGAGAGAGAGAGAGAGAGAGAAGCATGGAAATTGTTTGAAAAAGCAAGTGTGGTGGGGGAAGTCAGAACCAGCCAGGTTAGGTAAGTAGAGTCTTGTGTTTGGAGCTAGGTGCTTTTGGAGTTTGGGTGGCAGCTGAAGACTGTTTCAGAGAGGTTACAACGGGAAAATTCCAAATTTGCTCAGAGACTTGAGGAAAAAAGAAAAAGCCTAGCCAGGTGGGACTCTAGCCCCAACATGCAGCTCTGGCCTTTTCCTGTGGGCAAAAAGCCACAGGCAAATGGCTTTTTCAGGGATTTTTTCCCCAAATGCTGGGTGCCAAATTTAACATGAATAATAAAAACCCAGAGACAGGTATTAGGGTTCAACCTGAAGAGAAGAAAAGCAAAGCAACCAAGCCACTAGAGAGCTCTTACCTCTATGAAATCTTCAAATTGAAAGAGAGTGAGTTCCTGTCTCATCCCACCTTACATTCCTCTCTAGTGCTCAGATTAAAGGTGTGCACCACCACCAGGCCTCTGTGGCTCACTAGTGTGGCTGCTGGGATTACAGTGCCACCACTTCCTGGCCATTGTATGGCTGACTAGTGTGGCTGTTTTGCGTTCTGATCTTCAAGCAAACTTTATTAAAATACAAATGAAATATCACTCTCCAACCTCCATTTCTATTTTCCTTCCTTCCTTCCTTCTTTCCTTCCTTCCTTCCTTCCTTCCTCCCTTCCTCCGTTTTTCCTGAGGTTAGACTCAGACTCATGATTCTCCAGCCTCAGCCTCTGAGAATCAGGATTATACTCACAGCTGGCCTATGTTCTCTTTCTTGCTCTGACTAATGGTTGAAGAGTCAGCTTTATGTCACAAATTGTGTCAAGCTAAAATCTGTGATTTTACCCTTTTTTTAAAAATGTACATTATATCTAATTTTGTTTTTGTTGTGTTTTTGCTGTGATCAATTTAAAAACTGGGGAACTAGAATGAAGTGCCTCAAGACAGCTTGAAAGTGAACACTGATGAGGGGCAACTTAAATCCTTTCTTTACTCGTGGAGGAGATTCATCTAATTGTCCTGGTTTCACTTAATTCATTCTCTTGCCACATCATGCGTGTTTGTGCATTTGTGTGCATGTGTGTATGTCTATGAACCATGTTTATATGTATGACTCAAGAAAGGAAGTGCCTTTCTCTTTATGAGATGAAAACAGTTCTTTAGCCCATGGGAAGTTCATAGATATGTTAGTAGCCTGCCATATCTATTTCATTTCTCAAAGTTGGTGTCTGTTTATTAAATTGAGTGAGTAAAGGGAACTCTATGCATGTGTTACTTGTGAAGGCTTTTTTATTTTCATTTTTTAAATTAAAAAATTACATTATTCCCCTTTCCTTGCTCTATCTTTTCCATGTATCCCACCCACATGCCAATCATGGCCTCTGGCCTCTTTTTAAGATACTTTTAAAGCTTCATCACCACAGAGTGCTCAACATTGGTGGGGTACTTGACACTGGGTGCTTTGTAGGGGGGTCATGATGACTTAAATCACTTGAATCAAGTCTTAACTGTTTTTTCTTTGTTTTTCCTCTGCTGACTTGGCTCTTTCTGTTACTGTCATATTGAACTGATTGATATGTTCACTTCTCAGGTACAAGTATTTGGACTATATTCTGGAGAAGAATATCATGAGACTTTCGACTGTCCCATTAAAGTAAGTACTTAGCAAGTTTCTCCTCATGAAGGAGCTTTCTCCCCTAGACGAGGGTGACTGAAGTGACGGAGACACTGTCCATCCTGATACCCCAGTGTCTGTGCTGGGACAGCCTGAACGCTGCGCCTGAGGCCAGATGTAGAATACATGACTGTGGTCTCAGTCTGTGCTCTGGGAGCTATTCTTAGAGTAGATGAATTACACACATCATTCGGACTAGAGAATGGCAAGGTACAAACAGTCTTAAGTTCTGAGCTAAAAAGAAGTTATAGTTAGCTTCTTTTGGATAGTGGTGCTGTGTTTTGTTTTTGAGAGATGACTTCATAGGTTGAGTGATGTCTGACTGAGCTTTGATACAGAGGCGGATACAGGGGGGAACAATCTAGGAGGAAGAGCATATTAGAAATGAAGAGGCCAGGCAGATCAAACTGTGTTCAGTAAGTAGCAGAAAGTCTTGCCTAGGTGTGCATGAACAACTAAAGAGGCAGTAAAAGGCAGACTAGAGCAAGATCTTCAGATTAAGGAATTTGGTTTCCACCCAATAGCTTATTACGTGCCTAAGACCAAGAGTGGCATAGCGGAAGCCTGGTTCTAGAAGGGCTAATCTGGTGATTTATGCAGTAGAGATGGCAGGTCCGTGGGTAAGAGGCAGAGAGATCAGCTGGAGATAGCAATCATGCTAAAGTATCCCATATACTCTTAAAGGAGGTGATTTCTTTCATGTATCTTTTCAGACATTGACTGGTAGTAAAGGATAGATAAGATCTGACATGTGTTTTAGAAAGCTCATTTGCCGGGAAGGAAGGGGATTTAAACAGGAGAGTCCCTGGGAAAGAGACAGTTTAGAAGGCTGATGTAGTTAGTGTACTAAGCAGTGTACCACGAAGCTTGGTAAAGGGAGCAACCTTGAATGCTCACGATGGAGAAGTGGATTGGGACAGTTTTTTTTTTAATTTATTTGTTTATTAAAGATTTCTGTCTCTTCCCCGCCACCGCCTCCCAATTACCCCCCCCAATTAAGTCCCCCCCCCCCTCAGCCCGAAAAGCAATCAGGGTTCCCTGTCCTGTGGAAAGTCCAAGGAACCCCCACCTCCATCCAGGTCTAGTAAGTTGAGCATCCAAACTGCCTAGGCTCCCACAAAGCCAGTGCGTGCAGTAGGATCAGAAACCCATTGCCATTGTTCTTGAGTTCTCAGTAGTCCTCATTGTCCGCTATGTTCAGAGAGTCCGGTTTTATCCCAGGCTTTTCCAGACCCAGGCCAGCTGGTCTTGGTGAGTTCCCAGTAGAACATCCCCATTGTCTCAGTGTGTGGGTGCACCCCTCGCGGTCCTGAGTTCCTTGCTCATGCTCTCTCTCCTTCTGGACAGTTTTTAAGAGGTAGACATTGGAGCCTTAGTGACAGCGTGGCTGAGTGAAGTCAAAGATGGAGGTGTTGAGGGTAAATCCAGTGTCCTGCGTTAGTAATGACTTGAAGAAGCCTCACCAATTGTATTAGGTAACAATTTGAGTGAAGGCATTGTAAATTTGGCCAGGAATTCACAGAGCTGGGGTGCATCAGGTGGTTTTAAAGAGGGCTTAGGAACAGGTGTTGGCCTTCTCGGTGGAGATTGTCCCTTAAACAGCTAGAAGTGAGTGAGGGGATGCCATTTTAAAGGATATTAGCCAGTTTATAGTTACTGTGTAAAAAGAGAAGACTGATGTTGATACTCTGAAGTTCTCAAAGATTGCAGTGGAAATAAAAATAGCCACTAAGCCAGACGGGTGATGCACGCCTTTGATCCCAGCACTCAGGAGGCAGAGGCAGGTAGATCTCCTGTGAGTTTGAGGCCAACCTGGTCAACAGGCACTGGGAGGGAGGCTCTGCCCAGCTGATGCCGCACAGAGGAGCAGTTAATCCCTCGGCCCTCCTGGTTTATTGTACTGTACCTATATTACATGTGTGTGCATGTGTGTGCATAGTATTTTTGAGGAGAGATGTTTGTTATGTGTTTTGAGAGAGCTTGCAAGACTCTTTAGAGATTTTAAGAACTTGGAGAAATGCAATGTACATGTCCATGTTGGAAGTTAGCATGGGTTAGGGCAGAGCTGCAGTGAGCACTGATCTACCAAATAGCAATGTTCACAAGAATGAGAGGATGTATGCTAAACCCTGGCGATAACAGTGTAGAGAAATCCAGTAACCTGTCCCATTGGAGGAGGAAAATGTACTGGCTAATTATAGTAATATAGTATGTCTTCAACTGAAAGTTACTAAAGTTTCCGATTTCATGGGTAGTTGGGGATGAAAAGGTCAGAAGGGAGAAACTTACACTGAAAGAGATGGGTCTCAAAGAGAGCCAGGCTGACTGAGCCCTGGAAGTTCACTGTTGCTTTGCTGCTTCAGGAGAGTCCTCCACACGGCCCAGTTCTCTGAGTACTAGAAGGCAGTGTACTTCGTTACCAGTGGTTGAGAAATCCCGCTTTGTGGTCCATCTGCTTTAAAGCCTTTAGCAGATGAGTTTGCTCAGAGTGCCTCACTCAGCCAGAAGCTAGAACCCCCCATTCTTGTGTAACTGATTTTGCTTCAGAGAAGACGTTTTATCACACAGGAGCAAGACTAAGATGTCCTCCGCAGTTGCACAGCCTTTCCTGAATGCTCTGCTCCCTGCTCAGGTCCAGGTTTTAGATCACGCTGCTCATAGTGAACGAAGGCTTCTCAAGCGCACCTGTGACTTTTAAACCAAGTACCTTTTCTTTTGTAGATCATCGCTGTGCACCCACAGTTCGTGAGATCCAGTTGTAAGCAGTTTGTGACAGGAGGGAAGAAGGTAATGCTGGGTGTCTCTGAAGGATGTGCCCTGTGACAAATGATGGTGGAATGAAACGGTGAGACTTCAGTCTCTAAGAGACGTGCAGCCTCAGTCAACTCACTGCCTTCCTGAAGTGTGAAAATAATGGCCCTTCCACATACAAAAAAAAAAAAAATGAGGCAGCATTTAAAAGTAACAAAAAGTGATTGAGTTAGGAATTGCACTTCCTGTAGGCTGAGGTGGTGTGAGGAGAGTGACTGCCACTGGTGTGTTCGTGGCACATTGTGTGGTTTCGGTGCTGCTCGGAGCAATGAGGAAGCAAAACCATCCTGAACGTCTTTCTGTTTATAGAAATATTGAATCCTGAAATGAGAGAGTATGGTGATTGTGTATCATTTGTTTTCTATATTTATTAGCAAAGCGTTTTTAAAATCGAGTTTTCTTATAACAAACATACTAGAAGTGAAGATATTACTTTGTAGAGAGTCCCTGAAAAAACAGGTGTCCTGGATGATTTCAGTAGTGATGTAGCTGTACAGGGCGGCTTTGAGACCCACATTCCAAAGAATCTAGAATGTTCCACGATGTGAATGACTTTCTTCTCCCTGTGTTATTGTATAGAGTGAGGTGCTAGGAAAACACGTTGCTCATTCCCTCTTATTCTCAAGGCTATGTGGCAGACATGGGGACCCATTCTGTGGCAGACAATCAAGAAGACACCAGCTCTGATTTCTTCTTAGGAGTTAGACTTTCCCTTCCCACCGTCTAGCTCATTCTGGTTGTTTGATTCTAGTCCCATTCACAGCACACAAAATGTTTGTGCTGTTAGTCTTGGAAATCACAGGCTTAATCTGACATTCCCTGCCTTAGGCAGAATTAAATACCTTCCTTGTTTGTGACAACTTTGAGGAAGAATAATTTTAAAACCCCTCTTATTTCATTATTAAACAGATTTTTGTTAGGAGAAATTTTTTTGCATAAATTCACTTCACTTTGACTGCAATCCATGCACTGGTTAGAATTCAGCGAGGATAAAGAGTTAATGATATACTGCCATGTCAAAACATTGCTTTAAAAGGATGCTTTTATTAATAGTTTGGAATCCAAGAGTGTAGATGGAAGTTTCTGTCCTACCCGGTCCCACAGCCATTCAGTCCCAAATAAACACACAGAGGCTTGTATTAATTATAAACTGTTTGACCTGTTGTTCGGCTTATTACTAACTACCTCTTACAACTTAAATTAACCCATAATTCTTATCTATGTTTAGCCAAGTGATGTGGTATCTTTTCTCAGTTAAGGCATTTTCATCTTGTTTACCCTACATCTGGATGACAGCTCCATCTCTGCCTTTCCTTTTCCCCAAATTCTCATAGTATATAATTGCCCCACTTATACTTCCTGCCTGACTACTGGCCAATCAGCATTTTATTAAACGAATATGAGTAACAAATCTTTACATTGTACAAGAGTATTATCCCACAACATAAGAGCTCAGAGATTAGGTGCTGGTTGAGGGTCTAGGGAAGCAATCAACATCAAGTTACATCCCAGCACAGGTACTGTTCTTGAAACATTCTTGAGCTCTCTTTAATAGGCCACTATAAAGTCTACAAAGTGTTAGGAGCTTTATGAAACATGTTTGTCTCCTTTATCTATGAGTGTAACATGTATACTATTGATTTGTTTCCTGGTATCCACTAAGTTTATTATGTAAGTCTACACTTTTCAAATAGTAAAATGTTGCATTTGTTTTTATAAACTCTGATGACATCGTTTGTTAAAATGGTACTTTCAGAATTTATGGGCTTGGTATGGTTGTAGAAATCTCCAGAACATTTCTTTCTTCTGTGCATACAGTATATACGTTTTAAAGATTGCCTGTGCTACATTGTTTTCACATTATTTTGTTTTGTTGAAATGGGTTTATGAAGATAGAGTTTTATTATTTATTTATTTACTTACTTTGATACAGGCTCTCTTGAAATTAGTTATGTAGACCAGATTGGCCTTGAACTGTCTGTCTCTGTCACCCAAGTTCTGGGACTAAAGGTGTAGCCACCATGTCTAGGCTATGAAATAGATCTTTTTTGTTTTGTTTTGTTTTGTTTTAAAGCTATTTTATGTGTATGGGTGTTTTGCCTGCATGTGTATCTGTGTACCACCATCATTATCTAGGTGAAGAAATCTGGCTTTAAAAACATTATTTTATGTATATATGGGTATTTTGCCTGCATGTATATCTATGCACCACATGCATTCCTGGTGCCCTCTGAGCCCAGAAGAGGGCATCTGATCCCTGGGAACTAGAGTTACAGGTGTAATGACCTACCATGTGGATCCAGGGATTCAGCTTGGATCAAATAGCCAGTGCGCTTAACCACTTTGATTTTTTTCCCCTAAAGTAAGAAAGGGCTTTTATAGATGATAGATATTAAGTAGTGACTATTGTTAGTGATTGTTTTCATTTAGAAAACGCTGGCAAACCTTCAGGAGATACTCACTGAGTTATAGATGTTTATAAACCTTGAAAAATGAGGAAAGCAAAGACTGCATTGGTCCAAAAACAGAGTCTTATTATTCTAACTGGAGTTTTAAATGAGAACCAGAAGTTAACAGAACCAGTTGAAGAGTCCTACGTTTAACAACTATTGATAACCTTACAAGGATATGTCATAGGCACCCAAGTCTGCTGTAAAGGATGGGAAGCAGATCCATCATACAGAAGAAAAGAAAAATAAAGGCAATACTATGTAATTGAGAGACTTGAGTCAGAAATACCTTGACATCCAAAAACCTAGAGAAGAACTGCCCAGACGGAGGTATGACGTGGAATAGGTGTTTTTCTCAGAACACTAATTTAATAGGTGTTTGGTAAGAACACTAATTACACACTTATCTGTTCTGTAGTCCTTTACATTATATGACAGCTTTGATAGAAGTGATAAGGTTGAAGTGGCCCATAGGCTAGGGATGGAGAAGGCAGGCAGGAAAGTGACGGTCTGATATTAAGATATGTGGGCTATTCATAAGAATAATGAAACATTTTATTTAATATTTTAGTTTTTGAAATATTTTTAAAAGATCGATTTGTGTATTTGTGTATTTTATGTACATATGGATGCTTTGTCTGCACATCAGAAGAGAGCATCAGGTCACATGAGACTACAGTTATAGATGGTTTTGAGCCATCATGTGGGTGCTGGGAATTGAACTCAGGACCTTTGGAAGAGCAGCTAATGCTCTTTTTTTTAGGCTCTCAAGGTGGTTTTCAACTTCTTAGAAGTTGAATGCTGTAGTTGAATTTATGGACTTCACTGCTTGACACTTGAGCATAAAAAAAAAAGCTTATTCAAAATTCTGTTTCATTTTCTTTTTGAAAAAAAGAAAGAAAAAAAAGTCTCTTTTAAAAGTGTCATCGCAGGGAGCACTAATGTAAGGAACCGGGATTTTTATACAAGTAGGAAGAAGACTAATAGATAAGCATAGCCAGCGAGTTTCTGCTTTAGACATAAAGCTGCCAGGTGCATCCTGTCTGGCGGCTTTTTTCTTTTAATTGTGCGGCTTTCTCTGTCAGCAAGATAAACAGCTTTATACAGCCTTTACCTTTGAACTCCAAAATACACTTCAGTGATAACTGATTCGACTTCTTTGACAAATTATTAGCTCATGGTGCCACTGTTTGCAGTGAGTTCATCTGTAGAAGTAAGATAGTCAGCTTCTTGGCATTGCTGTGGGATAAAGTAAAGGAGCCTGGGTGTGGACACAGGTTGCTTTATATGATGGAAGATGTCAGTCAGCAAACCAGGGAAGGACCTTTGTGAATGAAATGAGATCAGTCGCTTCCCTGTCCTGGGCTGGAGGCTTTGTGCTATGGTTTTTTTTGTTTGTTTGGGGGTGGTGGTTTGATTGCATTATATCTTGCTTGTAGGCTTCCAGTGACGATCTGCCAATAAAAATTTGCATTTGAATATTCTAAAGGATGATTCAATAAAATAGCTTTCTTAAAATATAGTTATAACATTTTCAAGATTATTTTTCTGGTTTTATAGAGGTATATTTAACACATACACTACAATCTGAGGATTCGTTCAAACATACCTAGTCCTCTCATGTAGTTATATTTTCTTATATGTGATGAAAAGACTTAAGATCTTGTTTCTCAGTACATTTCAGTCTTCTATTAAATACAGTCACTGTCTTGTACATTGAATCCTAAGAACTTACACAGCTTGAGACAGAAAATCTCTGCCCTATGTCCGACACCTCCATTTCAACTATCCCAGCTGTAAATGTTTTTAGCAGTGAGATTGCCAAGGAGCCTTTTTGTCCTGCTGTGATCACTAAACTCAGCATGTAGAGGTATTTCCTTACGTGCTTACTTATCTTTTGGTCAGATTGGACCTGAATTTTTTTTTAGGGTTACAAGGATATAGACACTTGCTCTGTACGGTGTATACACAGTCCAAAGATGTGGCTGTCCAGGATAGTTGTGAACATTGTCATGGGATAGCCATAGGCAGCCTGTACCATCTCACATAACTCTTCATTACTCTCTTCAACTGAGCATTTGTGAAGAGTTAAGAATACTTGCTTGAAGACTTCCTAGCCAAGTTAGTATTAAGCCAAAGGATATTACCAAGTTTATGAGCTAATGATTTATGTTGCATTTCTATTCCTAGTATTTCATGATGTCAGCAGATCAACACTGCAGAAACACCAACCAGCAGGAAGTAGCACACAAATGTAACTGTCATAAACTGTTTTTCTCAGTCATATAAACCAATTTGTAAATTAACTGTATGGCAACTTATGTTGGTAGAGTTTTCTGTATATTTTATACTGGTTAATGATAAGTATAGAAATCCATTTCTTAAACTAGCAGTCATTTAACTCACAGCATTTCCATTTTATTTTTCATCTATGCCAAATGTCAGTTGATTTCCTGGTGTCTCTGTGCAGAATTCCCAGTCTTCGGCTCTATAGTAGATGTGGAATGTGGAAAGGGTCCATACCAG